CCACCACACTGGCCTCCTAGCCACATCCTTAACAGGGTGTGTCACTCACTGCTAGACAGAACCCTAATTCAAACTAGCTGCAGTAGGAAGGTCCTCGGGTGGCTCACCAAGGAGGATCCTTGGGAGAGGGCCAGGGTTCCTCTCTGAGTAGGGAGCCCCAGCTCTCCTGCCAACATGGGCATCTTTCCACCTGGGCCCTGTCATAACTTGGTCTAGGAAAGCAAATTTTTGATAAGGGAAAGAAAAAAAAAACCCACAGGAAAATCTCTGATTGGCTTGTTCTGTCACGTGTCCATCAGTGGTGCCAAGAAGACTTGACCCCTTAACTGGCTCAGTTTGGGTCACGTAGTGACTCTTTGTCCAGTTACACTAGCAGGGGGTGGAGTTAAGTGGGGATCTAGAAACTCTCCCTGGGACCAAAGTAGCTGGGCCCGTGGGTCTGGAATGTCCTCGGAAGGCCCGCACACCCAGGGCCACCCGGGGAGGGAAATGTATGTGCTGGCCTCTGTGAGTGGTAATCGCTATTGGGTTCTGGAGCTGGAAAAGGGTCCGCCCCTGGCTTTCAGTGTGACTTGGAGCCACGGAGAGATGAGCAGGGTCTCAGGAGGCTTTTTAAAAAAAAAATGAAAAACAAAAAACAAGCTTTGATTTTCTGAGAATAGAGAAAGAGACCCAGAGCTGCAGCGGCCGGCTTTGGCCCAGGTGCACAGGCGTGAACTTAGATGCTAATCTTCACTCTGCGGTCTGTTGCTTCCCTTGTTTCCCCCTTCCCTCTTCCTCTCTGCCCACACTGGCAAAATCTGGAAGAGCAGAGTGGGGATAGACTCCTTGTGCATCCTCGGAAGGGCTCTTAGTTCTCAGTACCATCACCACCGTGGAAGGCTTGCAGGTCCAGGAGACCTCTCTTCTCACATGGAATTGCCTTTGGGCAGCTGAAAGGACCAAGCAGATGCCATAGCAAGCTGCTCAGTCTTCTCTCAGAGATCAGGCCTCAATTTCAGTTTCCTGAGACTTGAACAAGCAGTTTCTGGGAGGGCTGTGAACAAAATACATAGTCCTTGCAGTAGCTCCCTTTCTGCACGTACTCTGACTGCTCAAGGTTGAGCCAGTTGTTTACTGTCTGGGACCCCTCACCAACTTAGAGCTACGTGCATGGGTCAAGGACAGAAGAGCCTGGACCACTGAGTCAGCCCCCATAGTCAGAACGTGCTAGGCCAGCCAGCCTCCATGGCAGCTCAAGGACAGAGCCTGGGACCTGTCCAGGCCTGCCCCAAAATGATAACTGTAACCCCCAACTAACCCTAGCCAATTAAAAGTTACTAACATGATTGGCACTCGCATAAACCAATCCTGAGTCTGTTCCTATGTGGTCTGTAGACCCCACGCCCTCTTTGCTTTAAAAACCCTGCCCCACGGCTACTCGGGGGTCTCTCCTGCTCCGCTTCTGCGTCAGACAGATGGAGAGTCCCGGGTTAACTTGTAGTAAAGACTCTTTGCTTTTACATCGGATTTGGTCTTTGGGGGACTCTGGGTACAACACAGCTAGAGAACAGGCCACAAGAATGGACACTAACCTGGACTGGATGACTGCATAGGGGCTCGGTGACAGGGTAAGGTGGTTTTGGCTTGGGACACATTGCCAGAGAGAGGCTTGCCAGCTAATTTATTTATCTTTATTTGAAGTGCATTGGTGTTTTGCCATGGGCGTCGGGTCCCCTGGAACTGGAGTTACAGACAGTTGTGAGCTGCCATGTGGGTGCTGGGAAGTGAACCCTGGTCCTCTGGAAGAGCAGCCAGTGCTCTTGAGCGCTGAGCCATCTCTCCAGCCCTATGCAGAGACTGTTTTTGAAGATGAGTGGCGCAGCAGAAACTGTGGAGGACCAGTGACCATCACCAGAGCTACCGGCCCCTCCACTGGAGACTCCTCAGACAGAACTGAACCTGGTTGGGATCAGCCTGACACTTGAGGCTGAGGCACCCGTGAGCTGCCTCTTAGAAAACAGGAGCTGTTTCTTGCCGTCAAATCCACACCCAGCACACACATGAGCCATGAAACCTCTCGGAACTCTCACATCAGCCCTAGGAGGTGGGAAAGCTTATCCCTGTGTCATAGATGAAAGGACTCAGAGAGATGTCAGAGTCTGCTCAAGTCACATGGGGGTGGGGGGGCACCAGCTGAGGACCCCCCCATTTCTAAATCAATGTTGCACTGTCCACTCCTTTCTGGCCTTCCTTCATTCACTCTTTTTTAAAATCTAATTTAACACGTATGGATGCTCTGCCTGAATGCATGCCTGATGCCCACCAAGGGCCAGAAGAGGCCATTGAGCCCTCTGAAACTGGAGTTATAGAAGATTGTGAGCCGACTTGTAGGTGCTGGGAATTGAACCCGGGTCCTCTGGAAGAGCAGCCAGTGCTCTCCCCCCGGGCCATCTTTTCAGTCCCTCTTTCACCATTTCTATCCTGTTACAGCAGTGCCAGGCACACCCCTCCCAGCCTGGTCCGATTCTAAAACACACAGCACGGAGCTGGCCAGACACGACAGGATGGGACTACCCTGAAAAGTGCCCTGGGCTGACGGTGTGACCTAGAGCATCTGACCTAGTAGTACCTGGCCTCTCTATGGTTCAGTTTCCCCATCTGTAAAATGGGGATAATTATGATGAGTTCTTGACAGGCCCCAGTCTGGTGTGCTTTGGAAGTAGCTAGATTGTGCAGCCACACCTATGAACAAGAAATGGGGCGGTGGTGGCTCATGACTTTAATCCCAGCACTCAGGAGGCAGAGGTTGATGGATCTCTATGAGTTCGAGGCCAGCCTGGTCTACAGAGCCAATTCCAGGACAGCCAAGGCTGCACAGAGAAACCTTGTCTTGAAAAACCAACTAATAATAGTAATAGTAATAGTGATAGTAATAACTATTATTTTGCACGTGGAGGCTGCACCCACAGAGGTCAGAGGGGAACTGTGAGTCTGGTCCTCTCCTTTCACCTTGGTGTCAGCGCCGTGGATCAAACATGGATTATAATACCTGTAAGGCAAGCACTTCCCCTGCTAAGCCTCCCAACTGGCCTGAGACAGGGTCTCATTGAGGCCAGGCTGACCTCAAACTTGCTATGCGTTGGAGGATGACCTTGGATTTCTGAGCCCCTGCCTCCATCTACCCAGTGCTGGATTTCTGCTGCTGTGCACCACCCTGCTCGCTTTAATCACAGGCTGGGAACCCAACCTAGGGCTTTGTGCATTGCAGACCCTGCCGACTGCCGCGCCTCCAGCCCACACATGGGGCGGGGTTGCGACCTTCTGGTGTAGTCCAGCTTGGCCTTGACCTCCACACTTGGCTCAGGATGACCTTGAGGTCCAATTCTCTTCCGTTGGAATTACAGCAGTTCTTCCGACTTTGTCCACTTGGGAAGTTTGTCTCTCCTCTCCCACTGACTTATTGACAGCATTTCCTTCTGTCTGTCTGTGCGGATTCTTGGCTGTAACTTTACAGTTGTGTGTTCCTTCTGATTTTAATCTAACACCAGCTTAGTTTGCTTCCTGCTTGGATGGGGCCAGCCTTGGCCAGGGCTGCTCTTCCGGTGGCCTTTAATACTCCACATGTTTAAGCACTTCCTTAGTCCCGGGCCCAGCAAGGTGCTCCTGGCTAATGTTATTCCAGTCCTGGTCCTAAAAGCCTTGATTATCTTTCCTGAGTGATTTTAGAAACAAGACCTGCTGGACAGTATTCCATGCTGTACATACATGCTTTGTTCAAATATTCACTTATGGGTTTGGCTTGTCATGACTGCAGCCATCTTAAATTACAATGGCCATGATTGTCTCCATATTAGCCCTGGTCAACCAAACATGGTGCTGTGTGCACTCCAGAGGCAGAGGCAAGTGATCCACTTCTTCCCACCTGCTTTCCTGCTTCCTGCCTGGGAATCCAAGAGCCTGACTGCAGGGTCTTTTAAATATTATTTTACCAGATGGTGGTGCTGCACACCTTTAATCCCAGCACTTGGGAGGCAGAGGCAGGTAGGTCTCTGAGTTCGAGGCCAACCTGGGCTGCAGAGTGAGTTCCAGGACAGCCAGAGCTGCACAGAGAAACCCTGTCTCGAACCCCTAACCAAAAAAAGGTATAGAGGAGACCCCCTCCTCTGGTCTCTGAGCTCTGATTCTCTTCAGAGACCCCACCATGCTGTTGATCCTCTGTCTGTTTGTCTGTCTGTCTGTCTGTATGTATGTCTATGGCATTAATTACTCTAATAAGCTCCTTAGTCCGAAGTAATGTTTAAGTGTCCTCTTGGAGCCTCATGCCCCATCCAAAACTTGATTCCATCAGGCAAGGGCAACAGTGACACACGCCTTTAATCCCAGCACTCAGTTCGAGGCGGAGGCAGGCAGTTCTCAAAGTTCAAGGCCAGCCTTGAACAGACAGACTCTGCTATCCCGGGTGAGACATAGCATCTTGATGTGATCTTCAACCAGTCCTTCCTTGGTGGCCAGTGATCAGTATATATTTCATGTGCTTATTGGCTATTTTTACACTTTCTCTGGAGAAATAATTATTAGAATTTTCTGCCTTTAACTTTATTTTGATTTTTTTTTTAATGAAGATAAGGTCCCAGGTAGCCCAGGTTGGCCTCAAACATATGGCTGAGGATGATGTTGAACTTAACTCTCCTGTTGTGACCTTCTGGGTGCTGGGGTCACAGGCCTACACCACTATGCTCAGGTGATGTGGTGTTGGGTCTCTGCAAGCAGCAAGGCCAGCATAGTGATTGAAATGGAACCCTCCTTTCAAATACTTAGTTGTCCCTCCCAATTTAAACCCAACTTCCCTGGGAACCCCCCAAATAAACCAATCTCTCCTAGTCGGCTTGCAACCTTGTACCACCATGCCCCTGGAACACACTCTCTATGGAATATCCAACAAGGCTCAAGACACCCCGGAAACGGAAACTACACCAGATAGCCTGCTTTGACCTCACGCCATGTCTCTTCTTCTACAGGAAAGGGCTGTCACGTCCATGGGTCTAATGACCACATATATCTATCTAGTTATCGGGAAGCATCGGGTTAATGAGAATTTACTTCAAACTCTGAGGAACTAAGGAGAAATAGCACGCATCCCATTCTGGTAAATACTTTGTAACTTTATTACTCAAATCCCCTCCTAAATCAATCCCTGCTGTTGGAACCATTAACAATCTTTTATAAGGTTCCAACTTAAAACTGGGTCATAGAGGACCGAACACTCAGAGTCCTCAGCTGAGCTGCGTGGTAAGCTGGCTCCAAGGTCAGAGCCGTTTGTCATTTCAGTCTCTACCTGAGAGGAACAGAACGGGTCAAGCGGTTCAGAATGCACGGTCCGGAGAACGGTGTTGGAATGATCAGACGAAAAGGCCCCGTCGGAGACACCAGCCCAGCCGACCACTTCCAGCAGCCGCTAAGAACACAGGGGTTCTCTAGGGCCTCGCTTTTGACGGCTCTCTGAGCTGTTTCAGCTCCTCTCTGACTTCTGATTTGCTAGCATAATAACAGGATTCTTTATTCGTGAAGGCACGTAACCCTCCCTTATAGTCGTTAGTAGATTTTGACCTCTTACAGACAATATTTCATTTCATATTTATGACATCTACAATATGCACAACCAGGCATAATTCATTAAAGAAATGAGATAAGCCGGGCGGTGGTGGCGCACACCTTTAATCCCAGCACTCGGGAGGCAGAGGCAGGTGGATCTCTGTGAGTTCGAGGCCAGCCTAGGCTACAGAGTGAGTTCCAGGACAGGCTCCAAAGCTACACAGAGAAAGGCTGTCTCAAAAAAAAAAAATTTTAGCCGGGCGGTGGTGGCTCACACCTTTAATCCCAACACTCGGGAGGCAGAGGCAGG